GAGGACTGAAATATACTTTTTTAAATTTATATATTAATGAGCATTTTCTGCATACTGAAGTCTCCTGTTTCTGCTGAGATTTTGAATAGGTTCATCAGTATTTTGAGAAGCCTGAGATGGTCTGATTATGGTGATTTGACTTGTGTTTCACAGTAAAGTCTCAAGAGTTAGCATAGGGAACAGGGAGTTTTAACATCATTCAGATACATTCTGCTCATCAGGTATTTATAGAAGATGGACAAAGAATGGTATGTTACATATTGCCCTACACGAGCAATAGACTTAAAATCATTGGCTGTCTGTCAAAGCAGTCTATTGTATTTCCTGTCAGCTTGTGAATGTCTTGGATGACCTCAATGACTAAAAATCAAAGCTAGTCCACTCAAATATCATTCAGTCATTGTATTGCATTGATTTCTTTTCTCCCTCTCAAATAAGCAAGAATGGGAAGGGAACATTTCTCAGCAGTTGCAGTTACTGGCAGAGTATTGTAACAATGTGATGGAAATCTCTAAGAATAGTGAGTTGATGGAGCCAGAGTATCAATAATGTGACTGTTTGTGGCCTCTTTTGTTCCTAGTGTTCCCGCCAGAGCTGGTACTCACTCCCTGTCACTGAAGAAAATCCTGGCCTTTTCTAAATCTGCATTGTTTGGCTTCTAGCAAAAATAGCAATTCTGATGCTTTTATTTTGTACAGTGCAGTTCTGATGAACCTGCAGTTGCAATGAATGAAGGAACTGACACCTGCCTGAAGACCACTGTTTCAAAGTTTTCAGCTACGGCATGGGAATTCTTCTTTCTTTTTTATTTTTTCTTCTTCCTGATAGTTCCTAGTAGACAAAACATAGCTATTCAATTATTGTTTACCCCAGTTCAAGGTAACACTGGGTTATGGAATAAGATAAGTCGCTGTTTTTCCTGTTTGTGTTTCAACCTGTGATGGAACTGTTTGCTGAAGACTGCTCACAAAAGTGAGCCTCCTATCACTGCCAGTCTCAGATATTCCACACGTATTGTGTAATGTCTTTATTGGCACCTTAAGGATGAGGATTTGTTTCTTCATTTCAAATTAAAGCTTACAATCTGAGGATACAGCTCATTTCTTATACCCCTGAAGTGTTAGCATACTTTTGTTGACTGTCTTCCGATTTTCAAAAACTGGCTGTACTTACTCTTCAGGAAAGTTTCCTAAGCCACTTAAATTGGTAATCACTACTTACATCTCTGGAAGGAAGAGTGCAGATGATAGGAAAGATGCACTATTGATTCATTCTCTATAGGAGAAGAGGCTGTGAAGTATCTATCCATCCTTGGAAATATTAAAAAACAGACTCGATGTGGTGCTGGATGGTTTGCTCTAGGTGACCCTGCTTGACAAGGGAAGTTGGACCAGATGACATCTACAGGTCACTTCCAAGCTCAACCATTCTGTGGGTCTGTGGAAGCATTATTTATTCATGTGTGTCAGGAGTAAGAGAAAGTGAAGATAATCTAGAAAAAGAGAAAGATGAAAAGAGTGGAGCTTCCCCCACTCCATGTTTTGTGTGGGAGAGTGGCTTATATCATGCAAATAGAATGATATAGTGACATAGATGCTGTATATTCCTGAACCTTGGTTAATTTAAAAATCTGCTTGGTATTCATCAGCTCACATTGTTTAAAAGTACTGCTTTTTATGACTTGCTAACACTGTTGTATGCTTTTAGGACATATCTAGAGTATAACAGATACATTAATATTTCTCTCTTTTTTTTTTTTCTGTTGCCATCTTTCATTTGATATGGTTGGTGGTATTTGGTGGAGAGTGTTTTGGAAAAAAAGCGTAGCGTACTGAGAGATGACAACATAATGCTGCACTTTTTTGCTGGAAAACAGTAAAGAATTTCATTTTAGCAGTAGGTTGCAAACATGAGCTACTTAATAAAGTATCTAGGAAAGTTGTCGGGTAACCACTTTTAATTAATAATCTCATCTTTGTTCTGCTGAATCCTGATTGCATGTTCCTAAGTATTCTTCAGTGTGCCGCTTGTCACTATTACTCTTGCTACCTGATTAAATCTTAGAACTGTCCTTTGTCAGATTATAGCTCCATTAATACTTCACTTTCTTTCCTGGCTATAATTTCTTATGAGCTCTAGACTGGAATAATACTTTTAAAGTCAAATATGCAGTTAGCTAATTCAAGAGGTTTGCATTCACAGTTGCATAGCTGGATGCTCATCCTACCAGATATACCAAAATTATAAGATCCATTTGTGAATGTGTTCTAGTTAAAACGAGGTCTGTTCAGTGGTACTTGAGACTCTACTGTATAAAAATCAGATAAATTTCACAGGTCAGTATTTATTTATTTATTTTTCCCCTGGAAGGCTTTCTATAGACTCATTTCTGAGTTCATTTTCTGAGTTGATAACCTGCAGAAAGGAGGTTAAGCCTGTTCCAGTCTGTCCAGCATTCTGATAAAACTGTATTACTGCTTTGGGAAGTGATCATGTTATTATTGAGGTAAAGAAATTCTGGATCCATGCAGTATTTTATGTTCAAATTTAGCCTGAAGGGAGACAGTATGCTATTCTGCAATTCTTACAGCTTGAAACAAAAGAAGTAAACATATTAGATTCCTCTTGAACAGCTGAAGAAATTACCTGCCTGGCCATTTGATTATTCTTATTGACTCACAGGAAAAACACCTGCAAGGGCATTCATCAGTGCGCTCCTAAGGATCTGTTACAAATAAAGGATTATGAAAGTGGCAGATAAGTGTTCCTGTATGTTTTAACAGCACCCAGACAAATGCCATTCAGCTTCCACAACTAGCATTCAATCTGTAAATCTGGGTTAGGAGAACATATTTTTTTGAAAAATGTCATGTTTACTGTGGGGAAAACATGCTGTACCTAACCAAGACATTGATCATTTTTTAGATTAGGAGGTTGTGACTAACAAATTGCTGTGGCTAGCAACTTGTCAGACCAAGCATCTAGGGGTAAAAGTGCTTGAAATGATCTCTGTATAAAGATAAAATCAGTGGAATACATTTGTGTTTGCAAAAGTAGCAGAGCATTACCTAAATTTGAGTCAGTTTCAAACATTCAGATTGTGGGTTTAACTGTCATTTTCCTCAAGAGACCCTTTTTTTTATCAGCTTAATGGACACAAATTGCTGAATAACAATCAAACCTTTGGCATATATCCTTATGGGGAAAAAAACCTCCAAACACCACACACTGGTACTGAAAATGCTATTACAGTAGCCTGTGGTGGAAAAGTGAAAGTTTAAACCATCTGAAAGAGGCTTTTTTGCGTCTTTCTTTTCCCTTGCTAAATACCACATACTCTTCTTCTGCCCTGTTTTAAGGTTACATTTGGCATTTGTAACAGAGATGTTTAAATAGAAATAGCTGTTTACATGTAACGTTTTACATGATTTTTTTAAGAAGTTTGTAATATAACATTATATTGATTATGCATCTTCAGCCAACAAAAATATTAAAATACCAGTTTCGTGCAAGGGGTGAAGCAAGAAGCATTATTTGGGATAGGTAGAACTCTGGAAACTTTATGGTAGCAAATACTCCTACATTAGTGGCAGAATGTATATAATGATTGACTTCTATGATATGTGTCCAGTAGTACTATCATGTTGACAATCTCTTCACCATAATCATGAAAGCAATTAGAATATGCTCATTCTTGTATGCAGAAGTTTTTAATAAAGAAATAGTAGTTTTACAAACACTAGTATTCTTTTTCTTTCCTGAATATATTGTATTGTAGAGAATGGAAAACATTTTTGTGAAAAGCCACTTTTAAAGTGATATTGAAATGAGGTCTTAAGATCAAAAGATATATTTGCATCATAGAGATTTTCTATGTCTCCTTGGAGGGGTGGAGGGAGGGAAAAGCAAAGTACATTATTAATGCTGTGCATTTCTCATGTAGCTCATCCATACCTGACTTTCAAATGCAGATGAGTCCATTAACATTATTAATTGCTGAACATTTCAGATGGGAATTTAATATCCCTTTTTATTCAAGAAAAGTAGAGAATTTTACTGCAAACCAAAAGGCAGGATTGAGTGAGCCTAATTTTAGTATAAGCATTCTGCAGTGTTTTCCACATATGCTCTTTAGTTCTAGTTTGGTTCAACTTTGTCATAGAAAGGTTGAAACTTCTGTATTATTTCAGGGATAATACCTACAGATCTGGTCAAGTAAATACTTATTAGGTTCTAAGTTGAGGGCCTCTTTCTCTTCCTGTCTACATAAAATACATCAGAATTGTACCTTTGTGTGCCCAGTTCAGAATTGTACCTTTGTGTGTCCATTTAATTCTGCATCAAGACTTGACTTACAACTTAGATACAGAAATCAAGGCCTAAAACCTGTAGATCTCCATCTAGAATGTGTGTGGGGGGGGTTGTGTTAAAGATTTGAGAAGGACTTTCATGTATGGCTGGAGGAAAAATATATAACAAATTGTGACAGGTCAATAGCTGCAAGGCAGAAAATCATAACGTATGGCAGGGACTACCAATGGAGAACTATCATTGTGGTCTGGAAGACTTCCTCAAGAAATATGAGGATGTGCATATAAACTTATTATTTCAAGTACTTTTATAGAAGTGCTGTAGGAGAGTTTCCTATTGCTCATGTCATTGTGTAGCAATGGCTTTTTTTCTTTTTTTTCATACGTACATAAAATTAAAAAATTGAATGAGATATTTCAGATCCTACTGCAAAATGCTTAGTTACAGAAGAAAAGAAACCACAGGGTGAGATGAGCTAGGGATGTAGACTATGACTATGTAGGGAACGTGTAGGCTTTCTGAAACATGACATGTAACTGCCAAGGAGAGAATACATACAAATAGGTACCCTGAATGCATTTGAATTATCATTAGTATCTTTACTACAAACCAAGACCAAAGCTTCAGTCAATAATACCATGCCACTTTGTTGAATAATTCTAATGAAGTGCTTTACTTTTCTCTGGCAGATGAACGGGAAGATGTTCAAAAGAAAACATTCACAAAATGGATAAATGCACAATTTGCTAAGGTAAATACTTTTGTTTATTCATAAACAAAAATTTGGTTTGAATGTTTAAATAAAAAGCCCCTGATTTTCCTCCACTGAGGTTTAATTTTCAAGATAACAGTTACAGGTTTCAGATATTGCTGAATGTAGTTGACTGATATGTTAGAAAATATCACCAAGTTTTATTCCTTTGATTTCAGTAGAGATTGAACTGTAAGAAGCCATCCTTTTAAAATGTTCTCTTCCTCTATTTACTTTGCCTCTTCTCAGACTACTGATGCAGATATATTGATGAATGTTGGCAGTTTTTGTTATGTTCTCAGTATATGGAGAAGTTTTCTCTATTGAGCTTGTCTTTTCTTGCTTCTAATTGCAATCCCAAAGTTAACAAAAGCAAATGAATTGGAGAGGAGCAAGGTCAAAGAAAAGAGGTGTGATCCAGCCAGTGAATTACGAAAGTCAATTATAATATGTTTTGAAATCATTATCTTTGGTAAAGATCTCAAATATACTTGAAAAAGATCAAATAACTGGCTTATTTAAATGAGGTCCCCTGACAGTATGTGATAATTTTGTCTTTAATACACAGGAAAAATTGAGCTCAAACTATTAATTTTATTAAACGTATTTAAGGAGGATAATTACTGAACTGTATTTGTCAGTTATAAACTAAGTCATTCCCACAATCTGTCATTTTGTCTTGCAACGGACACAAATGAAATGGTACCTGTGATATATCTTCTGTTTAGTCTGGCTTTTGATTGTGTCCCATCTGCTTCTCCTTATTAAAAAAGAGGGGTAAAATAATCTGAATAGGACCACCATAATGTTGGAAAACGTGCTTAGTAGTGGTGCAGTCCAGCAGGGAGTCCCATGGGTCTGGAGCATTTTCTAAGAGTACTTCAAGTGATTTAGACAGCACACATTTGTGCTCAGCATCTTTACAGCAGTGATGACCACCAGTTTGGAGGACTGGATCAGGAGGAAAGACAGTCCTGAACTCAAATTATCTCTAATTAATTAATGAATTACAAGACAAGTATGAAGTATTATATTTGGGACAGAAGTAAAATGTATGCATACAGAAAAAGCATCAACTGTGTTATCAGTAAAAAAGCAAAAGTCTGGAAATTGTGGTGAATCCCAAACAAATCAGCTACATGGTAGTATTAAAAAAAGAAAAAAAAAATATATATATTATGGCTGTAATAAGGGAAATACTTAACAGAAGGTGAAAGTTGTAATTATTTTATTTGGCAACAGTGAGACTTTAACTTAAGTAGTTTATTGTCTTGGTGTTCCATATACGAAGACACAGCCCTAGCAGTCATTGTCTGATACAAGCTAATTTGATATATATTGCCAATTAGGCCTTGTTATGGTCACAGAAATAGTTACAGAAAACTAAGGGTAACTGTTGCTTCTATATCTAAATAAAGTGTCATGTTCCTAGAGCATTGCTTTCTCAATAATAGTGATTTTATGCAATAGCAAAGCTTTCAGTTACTGAGGAAACTTGGAAGTGGTATGCAGAAGAACAGTGATTATGTGGGGTTTAGAAAATACGACCAATAAGCAGATGCTTTTAATGGTAGGTTTGACTCAGTTGTCTGAATTGATCTAGGTGTCTTTCCTCCAATTCAAGTTCAATGGAGCTTACTTCAGTGGTGTTTGAACTACCTTCAGTTCTGTAAATTTTTAGTTGTATATGTACACACATTCATAAACATACTGGAGAAGAACTCATCTCCCTTTACTTCATTTGGATTCTGAGGAAAACCTACTACAAACTATGGTGGAAGTTTTTCTTTGCCTCATGCATCACTTGTGTTTTGGACAAGGTCTTTTTATTTCAACAGTCAGTCTACCAAAAACCCCTTGACCTTTAAATCTTGGCCAAGTTATTCTTTTCCTGCAAAGTTGTTATGTATAACCAAAATACTTTTGTCTGAAACTCTTAATTCCTACTCCTTTTACCAACCAGAAAATGGATTATGCAAAAAAATCTGTGCTTTAAAGATTACAGTATGTGACTAATCTATAAGCATCTCATCATTGTTGCAGTAAGAGAGCCCAAAAGTTGGCTTCTAATGTTTGTGAGATAAAACAGTTAATAAATTAGAAGTATAGGAGAAATAGAGAGTATAATCCAAGGGACCTTTCTGTTTTCACTGCTCTAATCATAGACATTGTATATGACTTTCTTTAGTGATACCTTCTTGGTTTATCAACTAAATGGCATGCAGTAAGTTGAAACTTAAGGAATCTAAAAAATTCAGAGCATATTGCTTTAATATAATTTTATTCAGAAAGAGCTTTTCTTTGTCCTCAAAAGAAGTTTATTTATAAAATAGCTAAGTTCTGCAGGGTGTACATAATGATAGCAATGTAAGGTGTTGTAACCTAGTTTTTAATAATAGAACTATAATTAGAGCTCTCATAAAAGATCTAGTCCTGGGTAAGATATTTTTTGCTCAGATCTCAACCTTTAAAATTTCAAATAATTGAAACCTTTGTAAATGAAACACAGGATCTTAACTATGTGTTTGGGGGAATGCAAATGCATCACAAGCCCTCAGGTGTATCTGCTCTCTGTTGGAACTTTGAAACCACCACAACAATTATGTTAACAATGTCTGTACCCCATTTTAAATAATCTTATGTTGCCTCACTGGCTAAACATCTTCAGTTGTTCAGTGTATAATAGGCTTCAAAATACAAAGTGTTACAGAAGATGGAAATGTTCTTTATTTGCATGTATGAAAGAGCTTGGAAATGGCAGTTAAGTTTAAAATGAAAAACCTGAAAATTCCAGTGCCAGAACCAAAAGTTCCCAACTATAAAAGGAAAGAGTATGCTCCTGTGACTAAAGAAATACTGGTGACTTTTTTTTGGTCTCTCATTATAGAGGGACTGTCTCAAAGTACTGACAATTGTTCTGCCAGCAACAACAGTATGTGTTGTGAGTACAGAGAAGACAAGCAGCTAATAGTCGTAAATTTTGCAGCTTGAATTTTAGGTTACACCCTTGGCTAACTTAAGGTCAGCAGCTTAATCTGTAAGTGAGTTTTATAAACTAATAGTAATGTATGAATGAGTTTTCAACATTTCAATCTGCAATATCGAAAAACACATTATTGCTTGTAAATTCAGAGGTTTAAATAGGTTGCCCACATTTCTGCTACAAGTGTAGAAAATTCTATTATATAGCCGAAGAAGTCAGTATATGACAATACATACAGACAAGAGTCGGAACATAGAACATGGTAGATGGAAGAAGAGAATTTTTTTTTTTTTATGGTTGCTCTACTAATAGATAACTAATATTTTCATTACTTAGCTTTATGTAAAACAAAGATCATGTGGTAAGGAATCTTTTTAACGGAGGGTTTAAGTTGTGAAGAATGACAGCTTTTTATCAGCAGACAGAAATATTAGAAGGTAGTGGTTTGTGTGGTGACTGTGGAATTAGGATCCCATTTTTGTAATGATTATGTGAAAGAACATAGTAAAGATGCAGTCTGTGCCAAACAAAGTAAAGTTGACAGCCTCATTTAAGATATATGTGGCTAACACAACAACAATCAGCAAAATTAAATACACTTTTTACTAATGAAATTGTTTTGAATAGCAGCTAGATTGTTCAGGTAACTCATATACACAGGGATAAAAGGAACCCAAAGGGGGGGCATTGCTTACAACTTCAGTTGAGCTATGTAGCAGTCAAAATAATTTCTTGATGACCCAGTGTTTGTGGCTTATGTGATAGGAGGTCTTTTGACAGTCTCAGGTCTTTCCATCTTCTTGAGTTCATGGACAACCTGAAATTATTCAAGACTCTCGTTTGCTTTAGTGGTCTCCTGTGATTGTAGATTAAATGCCTTTTGCATATCAAATAACAAAAATTATTGATACAAATGAAATGTTTATTGACCTATGGAGGAAATATATCAAATATTTGAGGTCCAGAGAGACTACTGTAGGTCTGGCATCTGACAGAGAAATTTGCACTGCTGCTTTTGCTGCTTCCATGCTATCACTCACAAGAATTTTGAATTAAAGCTTATTTAAAAAGCCACTCATAATAAAGTGAATTTGGAGTGTTGAAGACTCTGGGAGGGGAGCAGTCTGGTGAAGCTTTTGGAGTAGACAATAATAGTTTAATTTGACAAATTTCTTTAAGATTTTGCTTCTATGGAAATGTGTTTGTTCCTGTGAATAATTTATGTCAAACTTCATCAGATGAACCAATTCTTTAGCCATATTTCTGGTTGAACCAAGAAAAGTAGCTGGAGCAAATTGCCAGCAAATCACAGAAACGCAGATAAAATACTCAGTATTAGCCCTGTCCAAACTGCTATCTTGACAAATAACCTATAGGTCAAATGAAGACAACTGCTTAGATGAGTGAGGTACTGGTAGGAAAACTGGAATTAAACAGTGAACTTAGAGGTTCAGATCAGTGTGCTCATGGTTCACTGATGTCTGCCCTAAAAACAGAACAGTAGTTGCTTATGCATGTCTATGAGACTAGAAAAGATCACTAGCTGTCAGTAGCCGTTTCACTTAATAAAAGTGAACTGTAGGGTTAGCTGCTCTTGTACTCTCCAGAGCTCAATTCTAAAGGAGAAATCCTACATCAACACTGGCTTTTCAGGACAAACTTTAATATCATTGTAGACAAGTTCAGAAACGTTCATTCAGATAGCTGTGATGCTTTAGCCATTTACATTTGCTCAGTTCTGAGCTCCATTTTGCCACAGATCATCCTGCAGGTATTCTCAGTCAAAAGGATTTATATCTAGCCTTGTATTTTTCAACTATGTTGAACCAGTACCTGACACTGCAGTGAAGATGTGTTCTCAGTCTGTAATTCATCCAGTCTGTATTACTGTTTTCAGCTAAAACCCCAGAAATCAGCTCTTCCTACAGTATCTGATACCCAAACTGTTCCATGTTAGGGTAGAACTAAGAGGAGGGCAGTTTTTTTAATTTATTTATTTATCTATCTATTCATTTAT